AGCTGGTGGACTACTGTAGGTGGCGAGCTAACAGCTAACATTGCTATCACTGTTTTCAGAGTTGAGAAGCACAAAAGAAATATTTGTACCATCAATCTCTGTCTCTTAAGTGTTTACAATCCATGCCTCTTTAGTGGAACAGCTTCTACGGCAACAAGTTAAATATAACTTCATGGTGCAACACAGCTAGAACAACAGCTTCCTCCAGTTTGAGCTCTTTGTTGTTGGTCACCAGCACAAATTTAGGTGTCAAAGTTCACCAAAGTTAAAACACAAAAGATGAACCATGATTGCATTTAAATGAATTGATTTTGCTGCTTTAATCGGTGCAGTGAACAGGCCTTAGTGCTGTCAGATTAGTGGAACCAGCTGGACGCAACTGGGAACTGTATCAAATGTAAGGACACCAATGCTCAGAAATCATGTGACTTGGCTTTAATGGATTACCAGCATAAAGCGTGTTGACCAACCGAGCTGGTTTTTGATGTTTTACGCCAAACAAAGGTGTAATTGTCGTCTCAGCTTTAACATCTGCTGAGAACAGCTCAATCCACTGCAGTCCTCTGTGTTTTCCAAACAGGAGCTGCTCTCTGAAATATTCTACATGCAATATTCTACATTAAACATGCATATACCCAGACCTGAACAGTGTGGAAACAGCCATGTTCTTAAGGCCATATACTGTATACAAAATAATAGCAATAATGATAAAACATAGTTCATGTCTATTGTTCATAAATAACCTGTTGTAGCGGTTAAAAAGCTGCCTCCAGATTCACATAAGAACATGGACATTTCAGATGCAGAAAAATATCTTTTTGTAAAAGAAATAATGTAATATAAACACACACTCACACAGACATACTTCTTATCCAAGTGCATAAAACTGTCTATAATTGTGATTTATGCCTTTGAAGGATTCCTGGCTGATTCCTTTAAAACATCTATCTATTTTATTCCAATAGAAAAAGTACAACTTTACAAGCCCAAATTGGGTCTTTGTCAGGTATTGTACTTTTCCTAATGTAATATAATTTTAAAGGGAGCATCCAGCAATGCTTTGAGTCCGTGGGGGACAGAACTCATTATATTTGTAGGAGAAGGATTGTCTTTAAATGTCTCTTCTTAAGGTCAGGAATTAAATCCACAAACTCAGTTTTATCAAAATGACACATCACAATGTTCATCAGAATTATAAGAATAAAAATGAAGTCTGACTCTACATCATCTCCGTTATTTTAGTCTGCGTGATTCTAATTCCCTTTGTTTTGTCATTTTACCAGTGTGACCATGAATATGACTCTAAACAAGTAAAACGTCTGCAGTATATTATTTGGTGCAGTCCCCCCCCCCCCCCCCAAAAAAAAACTGTTGCACAACAGCAGGTCGACAGGTGCGTAGGAGAACGTCTGGGGTACACAAAATGAAACAGAAAAATTCCCCCATATTTTACACTTCCATATATTTTGTTTGACATTTCTGTATGATCGTCAAAAAGGCATCGATAACAAAGAAAGGGTGGTTTCTCTCGAACAACAATGGAAAACAGGAACCACAAACGTCTTCAAAAATACAACTAAAAACTCTAAAAATGAACAAAACAGATTATATATATATATATATATATATATAAACAAACTAAATAGAAACTCTTTCACATTAAAGGGGGCAGTTGCGGTGGTCTCGGTGCTTGTTGTGGAACTGGGTCTGATAAAGTTTGAATGAGTGAAAAGCTGAATGGAGCCAGACGGGGGAGGCATGCGTGGCGTTCACGGTCACGTGGTGGATCGTGTTTCCTTTGTCTCTGAACCCCACGGCCTGCTTTGTGTGAACGAGGGGATCCGATTTCCCCTCGTCTTTGATGTCTCCTCCTCCCACGCTTCCACGCCTCCTCTCTTCAGCTATTATCCCCCCCCTCCCCCTCTACCACATACCAACCCACTCGCCCTCCCACGCAGCGCCCCCACACACACACACACACACACACACACACACACGGCCTTGCCTTCTGCTTACGGAAAACTCGACACAAGGCTGCATCTGGAGGTGAATGCACGGCCATGAGCCTGAATACCTCATCGAATGACCAGCAGGGAAAATATTCAGGATGAAACAAACAACAACCATGAAAGCAAAAACTGAAGACGCCATCAGCTTTATGTCCGAACACTAACATGTATTTGCTAAGTTAAGTAGAAGGGACATTACTTGAGTAATGACGATAAACAAATCTTTAATCCTGAATTCCTCACCAGTCTTTATCCAATTTTAGCCATGCTGAACTGAAGGTCAGTCTTTCTTGCACACAGATTGCCTTATCAGGAAAAAATGTGTTGAGAGAAAAAGAAATAAATCCACAAATATAATGACTGCTTTTTTATGTAATCAATGCATTTTATTTACAGGAACAAAGCGTCGATTTTAAATGAGTTGCTTTCCAGAAAAACAAAAGTTTCTTTCACACAACCATTGAACACACTCAGCATGGATGAAACATCAGGACCATTGTGCAAGTTCATCGAAAGAAACTTGGGTAATTAAAATAGGCAATTTTATTGCTTTTTACAGCCCATATGTAGAAGTTTGAAGGAGTCCTACTACTTGAATATGAACAGCTAATAAATTAATCAATAGATTAAACTATTGTCTTTACTTCTGCCTTTAAAGCAGTTGAAGAAATCCTCCCAAACATTGTTCTTGCGTTATCATCTAGACTGACCAACACAAACAGGTGGGTGGCTGTTAAAGGGTTAAATACCTGTACTGCTCAGCTCTGCACCCTTTCATTATATGTCAAGTTGTCCAAACGTAAGGGACTTTGAGGTCCGGACTCATCTTTGGTGCAAGATAACAGGTTATTAGTGTGTGCCAGGTTCCTTCAGTCATGAATATAAAGTCTGTTATTGTTGTATTTTGTGTTGCATCAGCAATATCATTTTTTGTTTATATATTTGCCTCACTTTCAAAGTTTATAATTGTGTCTTTTTCTCTAAATCTCTCTTGATTTGGAGGCTATGATTTTTAGATCCACAGTATGGATGGTGATGTTGGTCCGCCACTTTGATCGAGACTGAAATATCTCAACTAATTAGATTTCCACGAAATATTCACGGTTCTCAGAGGATGAATCTCAGGGTCTTTGATATTTGTGGTTTTGAGCAACGTATCCTCATAAAACGGTTTGTATGATATCTTACGAAAAGTTATGATTTTTCATCCGTTTTACCTACGAATGTGCAACAACGTATCAATTTCCGCTCGTTACATACAAACTAAACTTTCGTCTTCACAGGAAACAACTTGGATAGGTTTTGGAAAAGATCATCGTACAGCGCATTAACTATTCGTAGGTATAGCTACGAACGCTGCATGAGAACAGCCTGTTTAGTGTGAAATGTCTCAACAGCTGTAGGATGGATTGCCATGCTTCTTTTGTACAGACATTCAAGTTTACCTCAAGATGAAGAGTAATATCTTCAACAATCCCTTCACTTTTCTTCTAGCGCCATCAACAGGTCAAAATTGAAATGGTTAATGACAAAGTTCCTGCAAAACTAATGACGTGCTAATCATGCTAACACACTGACTGAGGCGGTGAACATTGGAAGCATGATACAGCTAAGCGTGCTAGCATGTCATGATGAGCCTGTTAGCATGCTGAATCCTGTGTATCATAGAGACACAGACCAGTCAAACCCAAGATTTCTCCTTAATGAATTTAAAACTTATAACTTGATACAGCTTGATGTTTAGAGAAAAGTACCAACACACATTCTCTGCTAAACCTTCACCGTGTATTAATATGCTAAAAGTTGACGATAGAATCTGTACTACACTGAAATGCTACAGGCCTGGAACCAACCCTAAACAAGTCGTCAGTTGCCTTCAAGCTGCAATTTCGCAAAGCATAATATTTACATTCAGCATGTGACCTAAATTTCCATATGGCCCGCCGTCTATGTGGGGATAATCTATCTTAACCATCGCTGGGCATCGCCATATAATTTATGCCGCAAAACAACATGTGGTATGCAAAGCATCCCTTTGATTGCATTGTTGTTGGGGGCTTGTGCGGTCCGAAATGGCAGGGGCCCCCCACCCTGGCGGGGTCCGCCAGCCAGACTGCCGGGGTCAAGGGGGGGCCTCTTCCCGCACACAGTCGTTTTCGCTATTGAGGCAGCGTCCTTCCTGCAGCCGGGCTGATGTCAGGGCCGAGGAATGTGAAAAAACAGAGCACACTGGGGGGCCTTGTTCTCCCACAGTGAATAGTCCTTGGGTAGGAATCCAAACCACATGCCACACACACACAGCCAGAGTGAAGGGGAGGGAGGAGGACAGGGGAGGACCAAACTGAGAAAACAGACCCCTCTGGAAACCAGCGTGTAGTTTGAGGTCTGGATTCACGGTCGGTTTGAGGTGATTAAGTCCGAATTATGCGAGAGAGGAAATGTCTTGTTAGGAGATAAGTTCATCATCTGCAAACAATTAAAAGAAATCCAGCACTGTCAAAGAAATGGGGCACATGGAGCAGATTTTAAAGGAAAGGAAGCATGGACTTGGATATTATGTTTCTTTTATGTTTCTTTGTTTTATTGTTTCTAAATTCTTTGTTTTGGGCAATTTATTACAGTCGATACTGATCATAAGTCTTAGCATTACCCATTGCCTTGGAAATTTGCTCCGTGCCAACTTTCTACGACAGTGTTTGATATGATTTTATTCTTTGCACTTGCCTGACAAACAGAATTGTCAACTCGTTTCCATCGTCAGTATAAAGGATTTCCATCACTAGACCTATGCATCCATCTGAATGAAACGTCGTTTTAAGTCGACAGGTGATGTGTTGACATGACAACATATACTTGTGTTTAAGAATTAGAAGAGGAAGTTAAAAAGACAAACCTAGGCTACAATGTCGGACGATGTTAGGAAGAAATGCCATAGATGTAAAATGAATTTGTTAATCAAGGGGGTCAGATCAAGCGTAAGCCTGGCGAGAGGTTGTGTGTGCGGTCGTACGTGTGTGTGACTGTGCGTCCATGACTGATTGAGTGTGCACCTCTGTGTACTACCAGTACACTGGTTAGCCGTACTAGTGTACTGTAAACTTCAGTGGTTGCAGACACACCTGGCGGAGATATGCACTCTACTGAGCAGAAAACAACAAACCAGCAACAATTCAAAGCCTTAGCCCGCATGGTGGTTGAGCCGCGATCACACACATGGAATCAGAAATCTATACAGGGTTATCTCCAGTGGGACCTGAAACAATCAGTTCGAAGGAGCATCAACTACAGAAACAGCTGGTTGACTATCCTGCAGCCCGGTGACTACTACATCTACTCCAGGGTGACCTTTTTGAAGGGCGACATTGAGCAACCGCTGGTCAGCAGGGTGATGCTGAGGAAGAACGAGACAGTAGAGGACACGGTTGTGATGCAGGCCTACTGCAATCTGCACAGCATCAGCAGGTCGGCATCGATCCCTCGCCTGTGCACGGCCACGCAGGGAGAGGTGATCCCACTGGAGACAGGAAACCAGCTCAGTGTCTGGGTGCTAGACCTCTCCCTGGTGAACTACGAGGAAGCAGCCACAGCCTTTGGGTTGTACAAACTGTGACCTCAATGCAATGGATGTGCGTTTGCATGGCGTTGAAATCAAATTAAAAATAAGATAATACATGTTTGTGGCCGTTAGTCTTGTGAGAAATTTAAGTTTAAAAGCATTCCTAGTATGTTTAAAAGCACTCCGAGTGGTGGATATTATATGTCACAATATATTTACTTATAGAAGTCTGAAACCAAAAAGTATAATCATTGAATCTATTGAACACTGTGAAGAAGATTTGCTGAAATGTATTAGGTGTTAGGTGAGAGAGGGTATTACAGGTATGGTAATAGATGAGCCCAGCAGAGGCACCGTCTTCAAAAAGGAAGCAGGAAGTGGTCAAGGAAAGACACACTGGCCTCAACGGAGGACGGACCATCGGGTCAGAGGCCAAGGAGGAGCTTGTTGGATTTCAGCCAATCATTGAGCTGATACGAGTCATTCCAGAGACATTTGGAACAAAAGAGTGATTCTGAGGAGAATCAGACCTCGTGACTTTTGCTTTACAGCTAACCGGAATTCGCCGGTCTGCTGGGTGAAACACATGTGGTCTCTGCTCCATGGAACATATTGCTATTAATAGTGTATTCAGTTTGTAACTGTTTTCGCTTTTGTTAAGTAATTAAATACCAGTTAATTTGAACTTGAACCAGCTGTTTTGATTTGGAGACCGACGAGAAAAGTCCATGCAGGGACAGGAGCGGCTTCTTCCTTTGTTCTGAAGTTTTGAACTTAGTCTCCTGAATTGTGCATGAATTAATACCCCAAAAATGAAGAACTCAAATATTTGTAAACAAGTCATTTTTAATGACAAAAAATATTGGTTGTTTTTTCATCTTCTTCATGAGTGATCCTGGTCATACTTGTATGCTAGCCTCTGTGCTAGCTATATAACTGGGGCTCTAATAGGCTAAATGCTAATGCTAAGCTAGACAAATTAGCATGGCTTTAATCATGAACTTTATTTATAGCAACTCAAAGCAATAGCTTGGGAAATAAATACACTTTGCTTTCTTGAAGAGATGAGTAAAAGCACCACTCATTTCGGATTAAACAGAATACATGTTAATTGTCGGTAGCTGTATTTTTTAATTTTGGGCTGGCGAGCTAATATAGGCTAGGCTAAATTTGGCTAATCATCTGGTAGTTGTGATAGTGTTATCGTTCTTCTCATTTAATACAAAGGAAAGAAAGTGAATATCATTTTTGCCAAATACACACACCACAAATGAGACCTCAAATGTGCCAGCTATGTAACTGGAAGGCTAATCGGCTAATTGCTAAAAACATTGGTGCCTTCAAACAGAAACTCAAATAGGCTACAGGTGACAAACTGATGGGTGTAAAATAGAAAAGCCCCAAACTGATAATCATGTTATCTGTCTGCAGAGTAAATCACAATTATTCCAGTCAATGAAGGGAAACTTCTCCCAGCAGATAAATCATGTTACATGCCAAGTTAAATAAAGCAGACTGATTCAGAACGAAAACAGAAAAGGGAGGATGAAAGCGAAAGGAGCGAACTGTTAGAAGAAGGCACATAAAAGCCTCTGGCAGAACCCAGCGGTAACAGGCATGGAAAATGTTCTTGATCCATGTTTAAATCATGTAAATATCCTAAAATGCTTGGTAAAGCCCTGCAGGCTGCCACAATGCAGAAGTCAAAGATGTCTTGTGATGATTCTTGTGCACAGATGAGTTTTCTAAAGAAATCAAGAACAAATCAAGCAAGAAAGGATCAAGGAAATATGTAGATAAGGCATGCAGATAGATTCAAGACTTAAAGACAGTCATCGCAGAACTAGCAGAGCCTGCGTCACAGAACTTGAGGTAAAAACATGATGATACCACATCACGAAAACAAACATACACATATCATACAGGTATATAACTAAAGCCAAAGGACAGCCTCCAGTAGTTACACCCAACAACAACATGATGTCTCTCTCTTCAACTAAAACACCTCCATTGTCTAATCAAACACTCTGATACACATCATCGTGTCTGGGACTCAATGTTCTCATGCGTTACACACTCACGAGACATGTCCCCACCCAGCCTCGACTTGTCCCATGAATGGATTGCAAATTCCTGAGAAAGAATGTGTCACTAAACATCTGTATCCTTCTCAACCTTTCCACTGATACACCTACAAGGATGTCAGAGGATTCCTAACACGGACGTACTGATATTTCAACGTATCCTCACACAACGGTCCGTCTGATTTCTTACAAAAATAACGCTAGTCCCATTTTTGTGCCTTTATCTACGAATTTCCACTTGTTACATTTACACAGTCTTTTAAAAATAAACCTCCGTTTTCACAGGCAACAAAACTACTTGATTGTAAAGATTGTGTTTTGGGCTGAAATAACCATGGAAGTGTGTAGGATCTTGCGACATCTAGTGGTGAGGTTGCAGATTGCAACGTTTCCCGTGTGCCAAGTGTGTAGGTAAATCACGAATGGCCGAAGTGAAAATGCAAAAGGCCCTATCCAGAGCCAGTTGTTTCAAGATTGGCATAGGTTATTTAAGGAATAGCAGAGCCGATGTGTGTGCAGTGGGAAGTTGCGTGAGCGAACGAGTTGGCAGTAGAGAACAACAGAGGTTTCCTGTGTTTATTTTTCCAGCCCTTGAGACAAAAACAGCAGTCTCCTCAGTGTTTTGACGACCACGGTCGTGGAAGCAAGTTGGTTTGTCCGTTCAGGGCTACCGTAGAAACATGGCGGCCGGCTCCGTGAAGAGGAGCTCCGTATATAGACAAACGGCTCATTCTAAGGTAACAAAAACACAATGTGTCTGAAATACTCTAAAGAAAACATACTTATATTATATTCCATTTCTGCAAATAAATCCACCTAAATGCCAAGTTACGCGACACATAAATTAACATTGACTTCCATTGTTTGCTGGGTGAGAGAGAGGTTTTTGTATGATTCAACCACCAACCCTACCACCTACCACCCACCTTGTGTGGGTTTTTCCAGTCTTTATACTTTCTGGTTCACGATTAGGTGGCTTACATACAAATTGATTTTGTGGAATGTCTACGAATTAAAAAGTAGGTTTAACTACGAACGCTGTATGAGAACAGTCTGGATATTTGATATAAAACTTCCAGAAAAGAGTTGGCACACACCTGTCCCCTTACATACCGCTATATGAATGAATTTTCTTTTTCCTTTTGTGTCAAATCAATGCAATGGTCCATCCCGCATGGGATTAGCTACATGACATTGCACATGTACCAAATACCACATGAATAAGGATGTTTGGTAATTAACCTTCATTTTCCAAAGAGAAACTATTTGCTTTACACAGAACAGAAACTAATTTGTTTGACAAAGAACAGAAGAGAAACCAAATGTAAAAGATACCAATGCAATATGTTTTTTTTTAACACTTCAAACACCTCTACAGTTTGTAAGCTATGATAACGTATGTAAGTGTGAGCACGCAGTTTGGCAACGGAAGTACGGCAATGTGAAATAACTCATCGTGCTATGCAAGGGCATTAACCACCAGACATGACGAATGCAACCTAAGCATGTTGACTTTCCAGTGCAATAAGTGAGTGGGTAGAATGAATTAGCAAGTGAAACCTAGAGCGTAGCGTTACACCTGCCAGAAATTACCAGCATATAAGCCACTAGCTGTTGAAAACAAAAACAGAACATGTAGGTGTCCTTGTAACAGCCTCCAATCAATATTAAATACATAATCATTTCTGTTTATTATCTTTATTTACTTAAGTTACTACAAGCAACAAAGGACGCATTTGGCTGAAAGTCACCAGTTAATGCGGTCGCACTTTAAATTGAAGCACCTGTTGCTCTGAAACGGTCGTGATCCTGTGAATTCTGCAGAACTTCAGTCTGCTGTTTCGAATATTGATTCTGACAACAGACATTTTGATGCTGTTAAGGGTTTTGATTTTACGTTTAAAGCGTGCTAACTCGTCTGTATAGCTGGGGCAAAATGCCACTTCCTTTGCCAACATGGGGACACATTTGTGACGTCATCTGTAAAATGGTCGACATATCATCCAGATACTCTGATGAAGTTGAATTGTGTCCAGTCATTAGAAACCTTTATAAGGCTGCAAAATTACCAGAAAAGGTCTGGTTCTCTCTCTGGTAGTTGAGGTAAATAAAGGACCCCCAGTTTGAGAATTTGCATTATAAAAATAGGCAACCATGTGTTCTCGAGTTAGGGTTAAAGATATAGACAGTACATTGCAGTCCATGTGTCTGTAATGATGCAGTGCGTCACGTGAAAATGCCCAGTAGCGCTTCTTCTCATCTTCCTGCCTTGTTCTTCCGGTGATGTGTCATCACTAAAGCGTGGCGTCGGGCCAGCGTCTGACCTCCTTCAATCTTATGAACCTCCCGTGTTATTGTAAGGCCCAGTCACGTCCGATGGGATTACATCCACCTCTTACGTAAGGCTCGGCAAGTCCGGACATGCACTTTTCAACCAGTTAGTTCAGCCTCGTGCAGGAATCTGCCTCGCTACTGCAGCTGAGAACAAGATGTTCCCATCTACTGATGCAGCATTTGAGGACTGTCAGGCAGCATCAAAACAAGCAGCCGTTCTGCATGTCCTCAACGAACACTCTAAAGGCTGTGCTATGCTCAACAAACAGCAGTTTTCCTTGCTTTTTGCAGCATTTTTACCTATTTGTTCCAAAATATATTTTTCCTGGACAAACTACCATAAACTAATATGATTTTTCAAATAATGCAGGGAAATAATTATTATAACGACATGTTAAGCCGTTCTAGCAGGATGGCTCTAGATCTAGGCTCTATCCAAACAGCCATAGAGTGGATCACCAAGAAATTTTAGATATTCATGGTTAGCAGAGGATGAATTCTAATGAACATGGCTATCCCCGTTTCCTGTAGTGCCTCCATGCGGTTGACATTTGTAGTTTTTAGTCATATGTCTCGACTACTATTAGATGGACTGCCATTCAATTTGGTTCAGACATTCATGTTTCCCATCAGGAT